GATAGTATATATTCATTTTTATTATTATCATTTATTGAGATTATTTAAACCTTTTAATAAATTTATATAATGCATTATATTTTAAAAATACTGACTGGGCATGGTGATAATAGTCCTGTAATTCCAAAGAATGGGAGGCTGAGGCAAGGGGATTGCAAGTTCGAGGCCAGCCTCTGCAACTTAGAAAGGCCCTGAGCAACTTTGTGATACCCTCTCTGAAAATAAATAGATAAATAAATAAAAAGGACTGGGGATATAGCATAGTGGTAAAATATCTCTTGGTTCAGTTTCCAATATCAAAAAAGAAAGGGAAAAAAGAAAGTAAAAGGAAAAGAAAGTCAGTCCTACATCACTGATTTGACACATTTCTTCTTTTTCATATAAACATTGAATGCTATTAATTTGTCTTGACTATTGCTCAAATAAATGTTATCTTCTTCCCTAAATCAAACTCTTGTTCTTGCTGTCCTGAAAGTAATCTTACCATACTCTATTCATAATTCAGATTTTGAGTTTCAGTCAAATAGAATATTAGTATTAGAAACACTTAACATTTGTTCTTGTAAATGATCTTGATTCAATGTCCAATCATCTGATCTTTAGACCTCTGCAAACTCTGTGGTATGGGTACTTACTCTTCACCTTTGACTTTTTGTAATACCCTTTATTTTTCATAAAATTCCTTAAAAGTGATCCATTTTGCATCTTAAAGCTACCATAACATTGTGTCAACTCTCTTCCTATGTTTACCTGCATTTGTTTTTCTTCCTTCCCTTCCCTTATCCTGTAGTGAAGCTGAGATATCTCCTGTTCCTTATGTTCCTTGTTTTCAACTGTGCTTTTAGTCAGATTCTTTCTACTAGCAGTACTTCCCCCTGTCCCTCCCTTGAGTTTACAAAAAATTGTATCTCTTCACTTTGTCAATCACCATTTGCTATGGAAAAAAAAACTTTTGATTGGATGTAATGTTCCATTCTTGGAATTGTCTGACATCTTACTGAACTTCATTTAATAACACTTACCTGATACTACTAGAATTATACCTATGTCAGTAAGTTTCTGAAGAAAGAAAATCTGGCTCAATCATCTTTCTACTATTTACCACATCAACTACATGAACAAAATTAAAAAAAAAAAAACTCACTTTGAATTCAATTAGCATTACTATAGGAGATAGACTGAAAGATTTTTAGACCTTTAGAATTGGATTTTGTTCCTTAGTTTTAAAAAGTTACCCATAAATTTCTATTATGCTTAAATTACTAAACCCAGAAGCAGTCTCCTAGCTGCTCTGTTCTGGGGCATGCTGAGTCAGTGACCTAAAAGGAAACGTTGGGAGGAACTAATATTAAATAAAAGAATGCTACTGATTATAGCAGTACAATTTCTCTAACCCTTGCCTCCCTCTTCATCCTCATTACCACATTCATACACAAGAAAACTGGTCATATTTTTCTGATAGTGATGCAAGTATAACCCATTGTTATTTTGGGAGGAAGACAAAGGTTCTTTTGCAAAACATTATATTTTCTTCTTTCGTCAGGATAATTTGAACTTTGCTAGCTTTTTGCAACTTGATCTGGTATTTGGGAAGGGTAGCATCTTCAGCCTTTGGAGCTTACTAAAGCTTCTTTAAACCTGCCACATAGTTACTACTGCACTAGCCTTCTAAGACAGTTTGTTGCCTTCCAGCTCCCTGCCATGTCAATTATTTACAACCAATTGTGTGAGAATAGTTTTAAAAAATGTCAGATGATGAATCATTAGTACACATTTCCAGAAGAATCCATATCTTTCTTAGAGGCTGCTTGTCTAACTCGGCCTGACAATGTTTGATGTGCATTTCACGACAGGACAACAGAATAAGTGGGTAGGAATATTTGCTCAGAAATGTTCTCCTTTGTTCCTCTTCTTTTCCCTCTTCCACCCTGAGCATCTCAGAAGTGAGCAAAAATATTATATTTTCTTAGTGCTCTCATAGTATGAGCAGAAAAGCAGTCTTGCAACACTTCTCATTATAAAATCCAATTTCTGGAAGCAGGCTGCAGGGGGAGGCTTATGAATAACAAGGAGACAGGAAAAGGGAAATTTGTGAGAAAAAAAAATGGAGTAATTTTCCTGGGATTGAAAGATAATTCAAAATGCAACAAATCAATAAAACAGATAAATCTGTGAGAAGAACTGCTGGAGAGAATATATATTTATAAGTTGTAGTTTTGTTAGTCAAAATGCTCACAGTGAAACCAAGAGTAGAAACCAGAGGATTCTGAATCCCCCATGAACTAAAATAAGCATCTGCTCTATTAGCTGAATGTTAATGCTGTAAGGATGCAGCAGAGATTTCATACCATGCTTTGTGATCTCTGTCCTTTGAGCTCATTTAGATGTACCATTTCCTCCCTTACCTCACCTCCAGCGCTGGTTTAAAATGTGTCTCTAATGCTGAAATGATCTCTGGTGCATGTAATAACAATGTGTCATTACTTAATAAAATACCTTATAAAGCTTCCAAGAACCATCACTTCAATTCACTCTTCTTATGCTTCTCCCCCCGCATTCACCCACCCAATAAAGGCCATGTGCTTCAAATCCATGTAAAATTGGTGGAGCTATACAATATGATCCTTTTTTAATATCATTTACTATTATAAAGGGACTTTTATAATTAATTATCCTGTTAGGGGACAAAACAAGCCTCTCAACTTCATCTCTGTTGTTTGTATACTGAGACAACAGAAGCTAATGATGCATACAGTACAGTTATGGGCAATGATTTACTGCTAATTTTGTCCACTTGTTTCCTGAGAGCGACTGGTTACTTGATCAGAGGGGAACAGCACAGAAGTCCAGAGGCTTCTCAGTTCAATCTCTAGTGTCTGTGGAGTGAAATAAAGAACCCTTCACAGGACTTCAATAGAAGCAGTCTTCATGCATGCCACTGGCCACCATCACTGCAGCTGAAAGTGGTAACAGATGATGATATCTCAGGCCACTCCTTTTCTATGGGGGAGTGAGAATGTCTGCCAGGGACTTGGCAGAATTTCAACAATAATGAGGACATCTCCCCAAGTCTCCTGTGTCTAGTGTCTCCTCTGCCTGAAGGTGTTTTAGGTAAAATGCCAGACTGTAAGTACAATTGATTGTATCATGAGGGTCTCCTAGTCTTCTAAGAGTCCCACATATATGCCCCCATTTAAAAAATAAACAGATAAAATTATCCTGTCGACCTGTTGCTTGACTTGGCATACACATGACTTGGTTTTAGTGACTGAGCTTATTCTCTGACCGACTCTTCTCCAGTTCAGAGTCTTGCTTTAACACTGGATCTTTGTACCTGAAGAGTGTGAATGATAACATAGGGCATCCCTTCTTATCTGTTAAGATTTTCACTAGATAGGAGGCATCAACCTACCAGTTCTTTAGTGATGACCACTTCCCAGTTAGCTTAACTGCTCATCCTGCCACCATTTCTGTTTCCAAGTTTCAATATCAGTATTTCAAATGTCAATATCTTGGATGAAAGAAGGTAAAATAAAAATCTATTATCAGACATCTTAGCCTATTTGGACTGCTATCACGTAATACCACAAACTAAGTGACTTATAAACAAGTTATAAACAAAATTTCTTACAAACTTAGGAGCTAGTAAGTCCAAGATCAAGGTGCCAAAGATACAGCGTCCAATGAGGAGCCACTCTCTGGTGTGTAGATGGTGGCTCTCATTGTGTGCTCGCATGATGGAAGGGTCAAGGAGGCTCTTTAAAAGATCTAATTTGAATCCCAATGCCATGCCAACTCTCATGGCCTCATCTCTTCCCAAAGGCTCCATCTAACATCATCACATTGCATTGGTGATTAGATTTCCACATGCAAATTGTATGGGGACACAAACACTCAGAAAACAGCAGCAGGTAATAAATCACTAAACTTAAAAAGACTTTATTTAATAGTCAGCCGATAGCAATATTGAGATGTGAGTCACTGAAAATGGCAGAAGGAAGAGATCTGTTTGAGGATGTTGGGGAGTGAGAAGAGGGGAAAGGGACCTTCCATGGTGTTACTGTTCTGCATCTTCCCTTTCCTGTCTCAATCATCCCTTGTCCTGTCCCTAGCTAGCCACACCAGGTGTAAACATGGCCATGCTAGGAGCCCTTGTGAAAGAGCCCTGGACAGGGGAAATACTGAAGAATGATATTGAATAAATTATAGTGTTAATATTGTGTGCACAGACAAATTTGTAACAACAAATATCATCATTATATACAGCTATAACACACCAAAAATGGACAAAAAAAGAAAATGACTATAGAGTATTGATTTTATCCTGAAAGTTGAATTTATTTTAATATGCTCTGGTGTCTTAGTAAAAATATTCAGGAACTCCACTGAAAAACAGACATTTCCTGGTGACATTTTATTTATCATTCTTTGCTTCCACATTGCTTGGCATAGCCTTTTCATTCACAGTTAATCTACTTTCTGTCCCTATTCCCTGCCTTTTGTTGGATTTTTATGAACCTTATTCTGTGAGTGTTATCAGTTCCTCTGGCTATATTTTCTAGATTTTCTAATAAACAATCTCTAGTTTGGGAAATAGCTAGAAAGACTATTAGACATGAAATAAAAAGCACAGTGAAAATTGTGCCACCTCTTTTCTTAGGAAGTTTTGAGCTCATGGGATAGATGTAGGCTGGTTCACAGGATGTCATATTTGTGGATGGATTAATGTTCCTTTGAGAGCTGAGTCTGCCTTTGTTTCCATAATTTTCTATTTCATGGTTTCAGTATATATTTCAATACCTTCACATGTGATCATCTTCATGGTTATACTTCTCAGGAAGTAGTGAAATCCAATAAGTATTTATTACTTTCTGACTTCTGTTAGGCATTGTGGTAGATTCTCTAGTTCCTTGAGAACAACATCATCTGACTTTTGCCTCCAGGAAGAGTAAAGCCTAGCAATAATTCATCACAATGGCAGAATCCATGTATGTCATCTCATTTGATCCTTGTTGATTCTGTGAGTAACAAACAAGACTGAGCACCAATACCCACATTTCAAAGGGGAGGAAAATGTCTTAGAGTGGTGAAATGATTTCCCCAAGGTCATGCTGAGTAGAAGGGACAGACAAGACAGTGAGTACAAGGAACGCCAATGTAAAGTTGTTCTACAAAAGGTAATAGCCCTTACATCTCCATAACAGCGTGGTACTAAAAACATCTGCTGTATCAAACCCTAAACACATATTAGTACGTTTTTATTAAAATAGTCCCCACTGTCCATCTTAGGGGGGGGAAGTGCTGTAAAGGCAAGCCGCTTGACACTCTCCATAAAATACCATTGTTGTTTCTCAGTCTTATCCTAAGGGGGTAGTTAAATTTAAGAAGCACTAATTTATATGTCAGACCAATCGCACGGTCCAACAGAAGATCAATTTAAATGGACATTTATTCGTTGATTTTTATTTTTAAAGAGACACGAGTAGAATAAAAAACATTTCATAAAAGAAACAGTAATTTGTTCCTATATTCCTTCTGGTTCCTGCTACAACTCTGTCTGGTTCTCATGCTTAACACAAAGAGAAAGTTGGAATAAAATTGATTGCAGGTATTGCCTTTCTTCTTCCTTTTAAAATCCAGAGATGATTCTTTTAATTGATAAATTTATCCATGTGTAATTCATAGGCCTTTACTCTTCTCATTGCAGATCAGTATAAATCTATGAAAAAGTACATGGGAAAAAGTATTCTTCTTACCTCTGAGCGACATTTGACACTCTCAACAACCTCCGCTCTCTTGGAGTTCTTTCTTCTCTTAAATTCTGTAACTCTGCATTATCTAATTCTCTTCCTATTTCCAGTTCTCTGATTTCATTTTTCAATTTCCTGATGATTTCAAATGGAGCAATACTCTGAAGTTTTATCTTCAGCCATTTTCTGATGGATTTCATTTTCCGATACTATATTTATTTTCATCAGTCACCTATCATGAATGACTTCTTAAATTACATACTTTTTGAATTCTCCCTTAAATACAATTCATCAACATAGCTAGTTGATAGTGTCATCTTACATAATACTATATTGCTAATTCAGGATTTTAACAACTGAGTATCTCATTTCAGCATCAAATGTATTTCATTCAGTGTGATAGTTTTTTTTTTTTATTTCTCTCGACAACACTCTTAATCCCTCAATCTTAACACTCAGGTTTCAATTTACATTTTTCCTCCTTGTTGGGCCTCCTTATTTTAAAATCTGCCTGAAACTGAGGGTATAGCTCAGTGCTAGAGGGATTACATAGCATGCATGAGGTGTTGAGTTTGATTCCCAGAAATGCAAAATAAATAACTTAATTAATAAAATAAGCTTATATCATTGGTTTCTAAAATCTTCCAATTTTATTTTTAAATTCACAATTATTTCTTGGTTTTAACTTACGCTGTCACTAAGAGATGCTCTACTCTCATTGCCATTAAATTTACTATGTAAAACATATTTGTCATCAGTTTGTGACCATGAGCAAGACCTGTCAATATCTCTCAGTAGATCAAGAAGCAGTAACACAGGTCTGACTGCAGTATCGCCTTCTAACACATACTCTTTTCTTCAACTTACATTCCAGCTCAAGTGTTATTCTGTCTGAGATAGACATTTTGTCCAATCCTGGCTCTGTGGCTCTGTTCATGCCTACTCTATCTGTGTTTCCTCAATGGATGCTTCTTCCTTCAAAAAACATTCCAAAAACTCCACGAATCTTTTACCATTAACTTTATTTCCAATTTTCAGTATAAATCATCACTGACCATCTGGAATTTTTTTTTTTTTGCCTCTGTTTTTCTATAGTAAATCATTTGGCCTTCTGCAAATAGTGCCTTAAAATTTTAACTGTCCTTTATATATTTGTGTCTTCTCTCTTTTTCCAACTGATTTATAAATTGCCCATTATTAGGGACTATGAATTATCTCACAGCTGCCAAGTTGCCATAATAACTACTCCAAGTCAGTTTAAGCACTCAATAAATAATTAATTGGTCGCATATAAACAAAATAAATCATTACTGCAAATTTTATATCAATAAGACATATATGTATATACATATGCATATATATATGTGTGTGTGTATATATATATACATATATATATATGTGTGTGTGTGTGTGTATGTGTGTGTGTTAAAGACCATTAACAAAAAATATGCATTGTGGTAATTCCTCATGAATAGCTTTTAACTGTTCTAGCACTCGATAAACCAAAAAACAAATAAAAGTCCATTAATCACCTTTAATGAGTTTGTCAGTTATTCAAAGCCCCAAACAATTGACAAAAATATATAAGCAATAATCTAGTGGCTGGTCCTCTAATCCCAGGCACAGTCTCCTCCACACAGCACTCATTCAGTCGCTTTCTTCTAAATGAGATGATTATGAAGTGTTTTCCTACTGGATGATGTGTGGGGAAGATATACTTGAAGACAAAAGTAACAGAAATGCAAAGCCCACCCCATGGGAGACTCGATCAGCAGTGGCCTGGTGGTGGCCTGATGGCTGGGCAGCTACATTATACTACTTATATTGGACCCAATTTTTATTTCATTTTATTTTACAGTACTGGGAATTGAACCAGAGGCACTCTACCACTGCACTACCACCGAGCTACATCACCAGCCCTCCGGTTATTTTTTGTTTTGACACAGGGTCTGGCTAAGTTGGGTAGGCTGGCCAGGAACTTGGGATCCTCCTGCCTCAATTCCCTGAGCAGCAGGGATTATAGGTATGCATGACCTCACCAGCCTAAATTTTTTAATTAAATTGGTTTAAGGATCACAAGCCAGGTTCTGCATATGTTAATGTTTTCCTCTTTTTCCAATTAGTTGTAAACTCTGGAGAGCAAGAGATGTGCTTTGTCAATTCTGAATTCTCAGTGTCTCGAAGTTTTGTGTATGTAGTTTGAGGGCAAAATTTATTCATTTATCATTATTCTCACTGTGCAGGAGGAGGCTATCCAGCTTTAGAGCTTATTGTTCCAACTCATGCAGCCCATATTTTGCTATATTTAGGGCTTGCACTAATAGCTTACTACATGAAAGAGGGGAAAGAAACCTCCCTCCACACATAATTTCCTCTTTCCTCCACTTCTCCCATCTAATATTTATTAGATAGTATTATGAATTAAGTATGAGGTGTCTCCCCCAAACTCCTGTGTTAATGCAGGAATATCCAGGGGTGAAATTAGATTATGAGAACTGTAATCAAATGGGTCCATTCTAGTTTAAGTCTAGTCTCTGTCCTTGCTTAGAGTACGTTGTTGTTGTTATTGTTATTACTATTATTTTGATACCTAACAAAAACTTATTCATATCTTAGTATGTTTCAGGGTTTGTGCTAAGTGTTTCTTATGTATCTTCTCAACTTTCATAATGACATGAGATAGATTCTATTAGCATTCCCATTTTACCATCTAGGACACTAAAATATGCAAAGCTTAAGTTGCTGGTTTCACATTTGTAACTTTTGGAGATAAAAATTTAAACACAAGCCACTTAAAAGATATTATACTCTCAACTATTGTAATTTTATAGGATATTCTGATCAGTGGTCGGTGCGTAATAGTTTGAGGTGTGAACATGACTAAAATTCTCTGCATAATCTACTAAATTAAGCAGTGATTTTTGTTGGGCCAGCTGTGGTGAGATGCTATCTAACAGTGATAACCTCAAGTTTTAGAGAAGATTTTGATAAAAAAAATATTCAAAGGGCGAAAGCAATGACTTAAAGCACAGTAGAAATGAAAGCTAAGAATGGCCAAATACTGTGATCTGAAAAAGGGATCAGGAAGTAAATTAGCAGTCATCTTTAAATTTAGAGAAGACTGGAGAAAAGGAAAAAGAGTGGCCATCTGTTGACTGTCTGTGATATGAACAAGCCCTGCAGCTAGTGATTCAATTAAAATTAGAAAGGATTTAGATACAGGTTTCACAAAGGAACACCGACTCTGATGCTTTATAGATTAGAGGCCAATTATTGGGAGGGTTAGACACGCATAGAAAAAATATTTAGGAGACTGAGGTTGTAGCTCAGAGATACAGCACTTGCCTAGCATGTGTGAGGCACTGGGCTCAATCTTTTAAGCACCACATAAAAAAAATAAAATAAAATAAAGGTATTGTGTCAACCTACAACTTAAAAAATGTTTAAAAAATATTTAGGATCAGAAAGATTAACCATTTTCCATCCCAAATTAGAGGCCATGTAGCTTGGTGGACACTGGCTGATTAATACTCTCCCTAAAGGCCTTCTAGCCCAAGCACTCCTTCACTGTACTTTTATTTTAAAGATGAGGCTTCTGTCAGGAACACTGATGTGATTCCTTGTGGTTGAAATAAGCTGAACATGTCATATGGCGGTAGTTTCTTTGTGGATGCTGGAATGATATCCCACTCCACAGAGTCCTGGAACAGCAGTTGCAGAAAACTTGACTCAAGTTCATCCAAGTCTCCACTCATATATCTCCACTTCAGAGGCAGAGAAAAACCCCTGACTCTCTTGTTGATGTATTTATTGCCTTTTGTCACTCCCTGTGTTTTCACCCTGTTTTGTTTTTCTTTGGAGCACAAACAAGGACAAAGAAAGTTCAAATTCCTGCCTATTTTTTTTTTTTCCATTTTGAGTTAGCTCAACGAGGACAGAAATTTGGTGTGTTTTCTTCACTGCAGCAGCTCTCAGTTGGAGCAGGATTTGCTGGCACTGAGTAGGCACTCAGCGGATATTAAAAGAGAAAATGAGCAAATGAATAATGCATTTTTCTCAGATCACTGGTTCTCAAAATTGATGGCAATAAGAATCACTTAGTGGGTACTAATAGCAACGGAAGACACAATACTTTCCAGAAAGCAGATTCTCAGACCCATCTCTCTAAGACAGTGGTTCTCAACTAAGAGTGATTTTGCTACCCAAGAAAAAAATTGTCCATGTCTCGATTGTCATCACAGGTTTGTGTCCCTATACGTGTGTTTGTTCCCTGGAATCATGGGGATAAAATCCTACAAAAGATATCCTAAAATGAATCATTCAGTTTCAAATATAAATAGGGCGAAGGCTGAGAAATCCTGCTCAAGATTCTAATTCAATAGGGTAAACGGGGACCTTGGGTTTTGCATTATTAACATGTATTCCTT